TATATATAAACATAGGAATATATGAATACATAAATATATAAAATGCATTAAATATGGCAAGAAATATAGAAATACTTATATTTAAGGGGAGATATGAGATATTAAATCCTAATTCTGCCACCCCCCAGGCTGATCTGACACTGTGACACTTGGGCTTACAATAATGGCAAAATCAGGTGGTTTACAGCAAGGTGGAGTTATCCTTTCTCCACCTCTTCCAAATATTCTCTTCTCATCCTCCTCTGCCCTTTCCCACCTTCCTCTGCCACTTTTATAGATAGCTATGCTGTTTATCCCAAGGAATGGGAGAGCTCAGGCTGTGAGCAGCCAACTCCAAGTTCTAAGTACTACTGCTGGAGCAGATTAACTGCCATGAACAACTCCCAAAGCAGTTGAGGAGCTCATAAAAATCCTGAGAATTCCTCAGACTGGAGGTCACGGCATTGGTCATCCTGTCAGAGACTCCCCCAGTAGCTCCAGTGCCCTGTGACAACACGAGAAATCCCAAACCTCCTGAACCCACAGCCTGTTTGTGCTGCCACCTCTGAGCCTTCCACTGGGAAAAGGATCCAAACATCTCTCTTCCCACCTTCCACATCCTTCTCTCTCCAAAGAGAGAAGCAGCCAGACCAAGAACATCAACCAGTGGTTTTTCCAGTAGGGATGTGCAGGAGATATTCAATCCATCTCCTTACAGGGGATGCTGCAGCCACCATCACCTGCTCCTGCTTTAGCTGCTGCAGGGAAAGGTTGGAAAAAAAAAAAAAGACCCTCAAAAAATTCCAGTTTAAGGCTTGGAAATGAAGGATTTTTGCTGCTTTTTCCAGGTGTGAGGTCCAGCTGCCTGGCTCACCTGGCTGCTGCTGCCCAGGGCATGAACAGGTCTGACTTGAACAAGGCTTTCAATCAGTTTTTTTTTTGCCTAAGCAGCCAGAGAACACAAAATCCTAATTAACCCCACAAAATTACACTTTTTTTGGTTGTTTGTATCATCCCCTTCCACCTCTCCCATCCCTTATCTATATCACCTCCTCTCCTGTAAGTATTCTCCAAGTAATTCCCTCACTAACCCTATACAAAATGCTTATGCTATATAAAACTTGCTCTTTTTGGGGGTCCAAAAGTAAATATCAATAATCCTCCCTTCCAACATGATCTGGAAACTGAAAATAAAGAGGTGAACAAGGGGGAAAAAAAAGGGCAAA